GGCCTTTCACTTAGAGCAGGGTGACAAAAACACTTGCCCCAAAGCTTGTTATGATTGAGGGAGAAGAAAAATGTCAGTTATACCTGCAAAAGAACGTGGAAAAATGACCAATGTTATGGGTAGACTAATTGAGTGCAAACTAAAGCTAGCATGTGGATTTGGAGAAGCAACCTGCCTCAAAGCCAGTCCACATAAATTTAACCAGGAAGGAAAGACAGTACTTCCCTGCAAGAGAACAGACAGGATCTTTCTTATGCAACAAGTAACTAAGGTAACCTTACCCAAAGTTGGGAGAAATAAATACAAGGGCCTTTTAGAATGATGCACTTAGAGGGAATGATGTTTTGTGGCATTTCTGCCCCCAAAGTAAAGGAAAAGCTACAAGCTTAAGTACCACTGGAGTCTGACCTGTGGGTCATTTAACAAAATAGTTTGAATTTTATAGATATTCTAAGATCATGTAACACAAGTACACTGAGGAAAAGTCTAAGAGGAGAGAGACTAAAGTGACAAGACAGCGAAGTACGAGGATCTCCCTAATGATAAATGCTTGAGAGGCGGAAATGCTAATCACCTTATGTGATCCTTGCATATTACATACATGATTTGGATTATTACACTGCACCCTACAGATATAGGCATTTATTATATGCCAACAAAAATATTTATGAGAGAGAAAGACTCTGTTCTTAAGAAATACAAAATGGAAGCTGGGTGTGGTGGTACAGGCCTTTAATTCCAGCACTCTGGAGGCAGAGGGAGGTGAACCTCTGAGATCGTGGCCAACCTGGTCAGCATGGGGGCAACAGAGAGCCCCTGTCTCAAAAAGACCAAAAAGAAAGAAAGGAAGGAAGAAAGGGAGGAAGAAAGGAAAGAAGGAAGGAAAGAAGGAAGGAAGGAAGACAAAATGAAGCACTTATGGGTAAATGGACATGATATAAACAACTTACTTTCCAGCAGTTCAACTACAAATGGAAAGGAGACCTAGGATTAATAAACTTCACATAGTAAAGTGTCAACATTTAGGGAAACCTGGGATACACATTCTATTTATGCAATTTTTTCTGTGGGTAATAAAATAGCTTCGTAGAGAATTACATGAGTTAATACTTAGAAAAGACTTAGAACATAAGCCTTAATATTTTCAGCCGGTTGTGGTGGCGCAGCCGGTAGGATATGCTGAAGAGGCAGAGGCAGGAGGATTGTGAGTTTGAGGCCAGCCTGGGCTACACATTTAGGCCAGGCGTGGTGGCACTCGGGAGACAGAGGCAGGAGGATCTCTGTGAGTTCGAGGCCAGCTTGCTCTACATAATGAGTTCCAGGACAGCTGGGGCTACAGGGAGACCCTGTCTCAAAAAGACAAGGAAAAAAAACAAAAGATTTATTGCCATGTCCTTAACCAGGGACAGGGCCACCTCTATTTGGTCCTGGAACCCATCCTCATCCTTAATCCTTTCATACCACTACTCCATCTTCCAGATTTTGAAAGCTGAATAGATGGGAAAGTTTATATAAGTTACAAAATGCCAAGCCTTTGTGGCTGAGTGTGTGTGAGCTTGTGAGTGAGCTCAGATACTGCTGGGCATTGATAAGATGACTGTTAGCTATAATCAGGTTGTTGAAACACAAAAAGTTGCACTCAAGTGTGAAGGTCAGAGGCAAACCCATCTTCCTTTTCAGATCTGTCTGTTGAACTAGCATCTGCAAGAAGACTGGAAATGATTTCTTCCTGCCCCAGATACACACCTTCTCCACTCCCGTCTGGTGATGTTTCTTGCTAAGACTGAGTTATGACATCACAAATTTGCTAGTGGCTAGCTTCTACCAGGCTGTGGAATCTGGCAAGCCTAAAGGCCACCAATTGTATCTGTGTGTCATCTCTCCCATAGCTAACGTTGCGAATGGTATCTTTGTTGTGCCTGATGCTAAAAATTATTTTCCTCCCCATCTGAAAACACAGAAGCAAAGGGGCCTCAGCTGTCCTAGGGCCTTGGTCCTTACACATACCCCAATACAGCCGTTAAGATTGTTTCTTCATAATTGGGCCCTACCTGCCTAATAATATTTGTAAGGTGCTTTTTTGTTTTTGTTTTGCTTTGTAATTTCAGCACTTAGAAAGCTCGGGCTTCAAAACAACAGCCCAAAGCTGTGGGTGACCAGGAAAAAAAGTTTCTGCCCTATGTTAGTATTGCATAATGGGTTCCAAATGAAATTCCTTTTTCCTTCCTGTTTCAGTGATTCATGATGAAGAACTCAGATACAGGTATTTTTCTCCTACAGGACTACCTTCCCAAACAAAGGGGAAGGTACAGTAGTTTTGTAATGCTCTGGGATGAAAACCTCCTGTCAATCAGGACTGGAAGGCATTAGTTTAAAAGGAAAGGATCCAAAAGACACCTGTCAACCACAGCTTCCCTGTTTGTAAAATAATCTGTGGGATTCCTGTGGTGAAAGGTGAATACCACAATGAATTAATGAAGGAACAAATGTATGTATGTACATATGGATGAATGAATGAGAGAAAAAGAGAGATAGTTGGAAAACTATTCAATAACTAGCCATGGTACCTTTAGGACAGGCTTACACTTCCTCCTTGATGCTCCTCAAAGGCTTCTGGGCTAAGCATCCTGGTTTGGCTGTGTGTTAAGATCTTAATGGGAGGAAGCATTCCAGGTAGCAATGGGTAACAAAAAGGGTGATGGAGGAGCCCTGACCTTGACAGAGAAAAGACAAGCAAGCGATCATGAGCAGATACAGCAAGTGGATTTTAAAATGCTTCCTGGCTTTGGTTTTTCGTTGTTTTAATTTTTTTATTTGAAAGAAAGAAATATTACAGTGCCAGTGGAGCTCAGGAATTCCTCCCAAAGCTTCAGTAGACCAATTAAAAAAAAAATATCAGTCTCCTCTTGTTTGGGATTTCTCTGGGCAAACAAAGTAAAACGTGAAAATATTTCATTGACCATTACACTCTGACAGAAACCATCATTGGTGCATAGATTTCTGCATACAAACTACCTTTATGATTTGTTTGGGACACAGTGGATAAAGTCAGGTTAGCCCCCTTGTTTTCTACTGGACCATAAATAATAAACTCAATCCACTTACAATTCTACAAACCATCGATATGCATATTTCCCTTAAGTTGGTAATTTTCCCACAGGCACAAACTCCAGTGTTACTCGGGCACTCTTACTCAACTCACAAACATTTCTTTATGATAGTCACTCAGACATCAACTTTGGCAACATTTTTGTAAAAAGATCAGGCTGAGTGTAAAATACTTTCACAATCTACAAAAAATGTGCAAAATTATTTTACCATTTTGTAGCAAAATGTTTTAATAGTGCTATCACTTTTTAAATTTCTCCAATTTATTACCTTCTGCATTTCTGACACTAGAGGAGACACTTTTTTTAAACACTTTTTCTCCATTTCTTAAAGCATACCTCCAAGCTCGTTGCTGGTGTATCCAATACAGGGGCAAAGAACCCTGGGCCACAGTTTGCATTACTTCAATCCCCAAAATTTCCACAGTGGCTTAGGAGGGAAAGGGCAGAGCAAGGCACAGTATTAACTATACCAAATATACTTCACATATATGAAATAGAGTTCTTTTTTTAATCTCTGTGACATTGTCCCCTCAGGCTCCTCAGAATTCCAAGTGTCAGAAACAGTTAATACAAGTGAAGAAATCTCTAGTAAGCATCTTTGGGCTACACTTGATTGAGCACAGTGCATTTTACACAGTTGGTATTAAATTGCTGCGATGCTTCAAATTTCTGAAAACTTGAGTGAGATTTGCTCATGTACCGTGGTTCCTAGTCCCAAGGACAAAGTAGGTACTCAATAAATTCTGAACTAACTGGATCACTTGTTAAAAATATTTTTAAAAAACCTCGACTAATTAAATGAACATGCTTATGAATTTTAAAATAACTTATTTAGTGAAGACTGTCTCCAAAATGCTCAACCCAGAGGTTGGCGTGACTGACCACCATCCCCTTGAAAGGTACTCTATGGCATTCTCACGAATGGAATCTTGCTCCAGAAGGAGTCCCACTCCTGCCACTGAATGGCTAGCTCTCCCCATCCCCTAGAGAACCTGTGTGTGTGTGTGTGTGTGTGTGTGTGTGTGTGTGAGAGAGAGAGAGAGAGAGTGTGTGGTGTCTACACACGCGCGCGCTCCCGCCCAATCTGCCTCCTGGTTGTGTGTGTGTGTGTGTGTGTGTGTGTGTGTGTGTGTTGGAGAGAGAGAGAGAGAGAGTGTGGTGTCTACACACGCGCGCGCTCCCGCACCCAATCTGCCCCAGCGCGCCCAGAGCTGCTCTGAACTTCAGACTATGTTTACCCACAAACTGAGCGCAGAGCGGTCTTGGTCCTGGGACAGCTGCTGATGCCTTTAGAAAATAGGGGGGCCTGCAGTGACAAATGGACATTCCGCAGACAAGCAGATAGACACACCCGGTCTGCAACTCCCCTGACCCGCCCTCTGCTTCGCGTCCGCTTGGGGGCTTGGTTCTCCCAGCGCTCCAGAAGTCCCAGAGGCCAGAACTTTGCCTTCCCTCCCAGAGCTGGGGCGGGAGTGTGGTACTGGGCAGGTGGGGAGCTCCATCCCCGGAGTGGTCCAAGTAAGTGGAAGGTAGTCCGTTCTCAAGTCCATCACTGCTCAGCGGGGCGCCCCGTAGAAGCTGCCAGAAGAGGCCGGTGGCAGCGCCCGCCCGCTGGAGCGGGAGGAACAAAGGGAGCGAATGGCCCGGAGGATGCTGTGCTCCCCGCGCCCCACTCAGCCCGCCAGCGCACTGCCCAGCAAGCGGTGCCTGGCCTTCGGTTCTGCAGAGGGGTGTGTTCCAGGATGGTACACAAAGACTCACTTCCGTGGGGCCAGGCTCCCAGGCCACCCTCCCCACCCCTCTCAGCCCTTTTGCATTCCTGCATCCCCGCCGCTGTCTGAGACCCGCTTGCCTGTGAGTGCCCGGCACGGTGCGTGCAGGGACGGTGCAGTTAACTCTCGGAGCAGCTGGGGATGTGGGAGGCGACAGCTGGAAGAAGCACGCCTTTTTAGGCTGCCGCGCCGCCCCACGCAGCCCAAGTCTGCAATCACTCTGCGAGAGGCAGAGCTCCTGTATCCGGGAGCGCCCCGCCTGCGCTACCCGGCCGGCACAGCTGCCTGGCCCGGGGCGCCGGGAGGAGGCACAGCAACTTCCCGGAGTCCGGCCGCTAGGTGAGCCCGGACCCCGCCTGGAGGATGGAGGACGGCGGAGGGCGGGGACCGGGACCGCGCGGGGCGGAGGGGACGCGCGAGCTCCTGGGCGGGGCGGGGCGCGGCGCAGCCTCGGTTCCCGGGCCCACCGGCGCTTCCTCGCCCGGGGGCTCCGGACAGCGGGCCACCGGGCAGCTCGCGCTGGCCACCACCACGCTGGCGGGAACAATGAGCCGCGCGGCGCCTGGCTGAGCGCAGCCACGCTCCGACAGGGAGGCCGAGGCACCCGGCGCGCCCCGCATCCCGAGGTTGCAGCCGGAGGCGGCGCGGAGCAGCCCCGGCCCCGGGGAGCGAAGCCCGCAGGCCGGCCGGGACGCCAGCGCGGGGTCGCCGCGAGTCCCAGGGACACAAGGAGGCGGCAGGGGCGGACGGCCGCCGGAGCCCGGAGTTGTTTAGGTTGCATCGGGCGCCCCCAGCTCGGTCCTTGCTGCCCAGGGCGGCCGCGGGAGCGTGGGAGCGCGTGGTGCGCGCGCCCGAGCGGCTGCCAGGGAATAAAAATGTGACACGCGCGGCTCCGACTTCAGCGCCTCGCGTTCCGGGAGGCGGCGGGCTCAGCGTGGGGACCAGGTTAGTACGGGAGCTTGGGTCCGCTACCTGCCACGTCCTCCCTCTGGGTCTCTGCTCCAGCTGGAGTTAAGGGTCAACTCAAAGCCCAGAAGCCAGGTGCCTGTGTGGGGGACCTTTGAGGGTGGTTTGGGGAAAACGGACACTTTGGAGAGGGTGAGCGAATGGCAGGGCGTGCGGTTAGGGGACAGGGGATCACAGTTCACCCTGTGGCTCAGTAACAGCATTTGGTTTGATGTGGCTCTATAAGAAGTGGAGATTTTTGACCGATTCTCCAACCTATCCTCATGCAAAACAGCACGCTTAAAAAGCGTGTCTTATTTTGATTTTTTGTTCTCTGTAGCTATGTTTAGGTGCAGAGGGATCTTCAGAATCCCCTCACAAGCCGAGTATTAATTCTTACGCACTTGGCAGGCAAAAACTCTGCTTTGGGTTTGTTTTACTACCCACCGCGTAAAGAGCTGGTTATTTGATGAATTCTTTTTAGTAAGGAATATGACATCTATCTTGTGGACTTGACGGTGACGGTGCTGGGGGACCCAGTGAAGTTAAACTCATGGTTCTGGTTCACAGCAAGTCGTGTTTCCTAAGGAGAGCTGAATAATGTGTTTGGAGCCGCGTGCTTTCCAGGAATTTTAATGCGACTTTTGTGATTGCCTTCCATGTCTCTCCTTTACCACATTTGTTTTGCGGGGCAAAACTTCCAAAGCTGGGTTGTAATCTGAGAGGCACTTTGGGATGGGGAATTATGTTTCACTGGATTTTGATAAAGTTCTTTGGGGGAACTGGGGGGGATCTTGCTGAAAAATTGATGAGAAATAAATTTCCACCGTATTTGGTGGAAAATGTCTCCTGGACTAGAAACATGCTGTGGTCCTCCAGTGAACTGCTTTTCTGGGTGAGGGGGACTCCTTGGCTGACCTGAATATTTTGTGTCTAATGCACTTTCTGCACATTAAAAAAAGACTAGTAGGAGTGATTTACTTTTTCAGTCTTTATTTTTCATGGGGGGATAGTCAATTTTTAAAAATTTAGATACTTTTTTTTTTACAATTTTGAAATATAGTTTATGACTAAGGAATTGCAATAAAGCAAAGTGTTGTGTGCCATCGTATTGCAAATTTAAAGGTAATTCTTTTAAAGGGAAAAACAATGTGGCCCTGAGCCCGCTTTACCCACCCTTTTTTCCATGGTTATTTTTCTGGAACTGATCACCTACCCCCTTGTTTATGTACTAATGCATTAGGAAAGCTGTTGACAAAAGACAGTTGGATATTATGACTGAAGTGAAAGAAAACGTAATAGATGGTTTGCCTTTGAATTTTACGAGGAAGTTAGAAAGGGCACTCAAACATGCAGAGATAAGGCTCTCCAGGTACAAAGGATAGAAATTGGCACTGCATACCTGTTTGCTTGGCACAGCTGAAGCTTCTTGAGTTTTGAGCTGCCTTTCCTAGGGATTTTCGTGTGAGCAACTTCTCCTGAATCTCCTTGGGGATTTTCACATGAGCACCCCTCTCCTGATGGAACTCTAAGCTTCACAATTTAAGGTGCTTGTGAGACTTGTTCAGAGCAAAGAGCAGCATTTGGTGAGTTATTGCGTGGTGTGCACAATTTAGAAAGTAAAGGTAAGGGTGAAGGCGTGCACATCTGCAGGACTTGGGCTGAGATAATTTAATATCTGGAAATGTGTGAATGATTTATTATCGAGAAAAGGGCAACCATCTGTGCTTGGCTTCTGATCAGGATAACTAAGAGGGAATGAATGACTTTGTGAAGTTGTAAGTTGAGTTTATGAGTGCAACCAAGCCAGCCTCCAAGATAAGGGAGAGAAGATGCTGAGAAGAAATCTGTGCTTGCTTGTTTCTGGAACAGTTTTTGTCTGAGAGCCTCCTCTTTGTGAGCTTACCTATTGCTATACTAACTGAAATCATATCATCTAGTCTAGACTTTACCCAAACATTTCTGGTTAAGTGTTTAGGTCTCCCCAAAATGACACACTCATTCTTGGGCTTCTGCTACTCCTGCTTTGGTAAATAAATCTCAGAAGAACTTAGAGACATTTATTCCCTGGGAAACTCTTAATTAATTTTCAGGCTTGGTGCCTCATTCCTGATATTCTGAATAAAAATATCTTACCCATGAAAGTAGGAAGTCTTGTTTTAGAAGTGAAATTTTTTAAAGAACGTTGCATTGTGCTCCTCCCAATCAATTGTGTGTTATTCCTTCCTGGATATGTGGTAATATGATTTTAAATTTTAATTGCTTAAGTTAAATGTTTCATTCTGCTTGCTTGACTGTCTAAACAAAACAGTTCCTTCATGGTAGCTGTATGTGAAAATTTAAGTTTCTTCTAAAGCCTTAAAAACTGGAAGCTCATCCTTTATAAAAGATGAGAGTCACACATAACCATAAAAGAAATAATTCCATGGCATCAGATACCAATTTTGGAATCAGGCAAGAACAGGTGCACATTTACACAGAAATTATCAGTGTTTTTAGCACCAACTGTTGACGTCAATGCCAAGGACTAAATGGGCTGTGGATGATGGCCAGCTTCTATTAGCAGATTATCACACTTTCTGTTTAATAAAGCTTCCATTTTCCTAAAAGTCCACCTTACTACTTTGGAGAGATTAGTTTATAAAGGTTATCACACATGCAGTGCAAGGACTCCGGTATTGGAGAGAGATGGATTTATTAGACCTCTTTCCAAATCTAAAGTTTATTCTGATCTTGAATCCCCAAGAACGCCCCCCCGGGGGGGCAGAGAATAGGGAACAGCTGCAGTTTGGAATGTGCATTTGGAACTTACCTAGTCTGCGTGTGGAACACACTGAAAGGACATGGGATATGAAGCAAGCAGTCCTAAGGCTTTGCAGGAGCTGGTGATCTGGCCCAGCAGCAGCATCCATCCCTAACTGGACACTTGGTAAAAGCTGAGTCTCAGCAGTGTCAACTACCATATGTCCCAAACTGCTCCACAGAACCAAGTGCCTCCTGGTGTGAGAGGGAATGGCTGTGTGGATGGAAATGACATCTGAAGCTTGCTGCCCAGCCTGAAGAATTCTCTCTACAGCACTGTCCTGAACGCATCCCCGTTCCCCTGTCCCCTTTGATCCTCTTTAAGAAAGAATTCCAAATTGAAGGCACAAATTGCCTCTAGAGAGATGGAAGGGTATGAAGATTGGATTCACAATTTTGCAATGCAGAGCAAAGTGCCCAAGAAAGCTGCTGGCCAGGTGCCCTATAGCGACCTGCCCTGGAGGAAGTTTTGCCCTATCATAGTGCAGTTTCCAGGGCTGTAAAGGGAAAACAAGATTAAGCCTACTTCAAGTTGATTTCTGGTGTTGAATTCTTTATGTGCTGGTGTACTTAAAAGTGATTTTCCCTTCAGCCCCAGGAGAGGGTAGAAATACAAAGAATAATAATAGCAACTGATTTGTACTGTGTACCATACCGTACCACACCCTGCCATTTGCTTGCATAGATTATTAGTATACACTTTAGCTACAACTCTGAGAAATATCATCACCCCCATTTTACCAGTGAGAAGACCCAAGCCTCAGAAAAGTGAAATGCCTTGGCAGTGCTGGGGAATTTGCCCAAAGCTTATGCTGCTGGGCTGAGATTCATTCCACAAAAGGACAGAAATGACCACTGCCTTCATTGTGTGTGGCCAGAGACTATGACCTCTGCCATGGTTGAGTCTTGAGTGCCAGGGCAGGTGTATAGGAGGGAAGGAGAAGGCAGGGGAGCCCCTGGGGTACAGAAAGTATGTATTCATCAGAACCTGCGAGTGGAAATTTTTTGAGCTAAAACTTTTAAAAATGGGCCATGAAATTTCGAGTATCTAGGCAAGAAGAATTAGAATGAAATTTCAAATGATAGGAAGGATATCAGGTGAGATTTTTTTTTTTTCAGAGAAAGATTGAGGCTAAGATTACAGAAAATTATCCATCTGTTTTGAGTTACTGAGTTTTTGAAGAGCGGGAGCTCAGAAAGTAGTCTCTTGGGACATTTAGAACTATATTGGCTAAAGCATCAGAGAATTCACTGTAAAGCAGAACCTTGCGATGGTGATTATCGGCCTCTGTTTTCATAACTTTGAAATTCACACATTAAGTTCTATTCTATGCTGCTTCTGGTTTGAACCTGAGAGGATAATGTTTTATTAAATTTCAAACAATTGGTTTTGCATGTTCGACTTATACAGATTTTTCAAGTAGGGGTTCTTGTGGTTTCTAAAATGACTTTGGTTTAAATTAAATTCTGGAAAGGTAAACCTCTTACATAATCCAGTTGCTTTATTATTCAGAAATAAATCTACAGAGTAGCTTCCTTGAAAGCACGGTAATAGTGATGACTTCCTGAAATGTAAGAGTGTGGCTGACAGT